GGTTTGCAGGCCTTATCTTTAACAGGCTGGAGCCCATTAGCAAGCTAAGATAAGAATTCTCTCAGAAGAGCAGGGCACCTTCACTGCCTGGATTAGAAAGCAGCATTCACAAGACATGCACAAGAAGTGGTGCCACAATGAGAAATTCCCAAAGCCTTGGAGCAAACTGACCTGGAAGTCTGGATTCCCAGGGTCTCTCACCTTGAGTCTGGTCTGCAGGAACACATCTTCAACCCTCAGGCCTCTCATAACTGGGAACCTCTCAAAGGTAACAGTTTCATTCCAAGCAAAACGGCAATACATGTCAGCTTTGGTATGTCTAAAACAATATTCAAATTGGAACTAAGCATGTAAAGTTTGGCTCCAACACTAGTGAAACACTGTTCAGCAGAACTGAAGCTTTCTACTAGGCTTGCTTCTTCCAGTGTACCTTCAGCAAGCTTTTTGCCTTAGGAAGCACAGAGCACATGCCAAAATTCTGTGACCTAGAGAAATGCTTCCTCTTCACAACTGTTCTTGCCAGCTGCCCAAGAGAAACAACTCAAGCTGAGTTACTGGTTTAATGAGTGTTATTTATTTCGCCTACAATGCTCTCAGGAGTCAGAGCCACTGACGAGAGACAAGATTGGGAAGAAGAGAGCAGAAGATACCCTATATATATTACTGCAGGGATGACCCATCTCGCTGAGGTATATATGATACTACTGATGTACACAGACACTGCCCAGATGTACCTACATGCTACATAAAAAATGCTATGTCCAAGCTTCCGATGGCCTTGGAGATGCAAAGTCTTTTCCCCACTAAGCTTTCTCTGCTCTGTGAAGGCTGTTGAGCACCATGACTACAAACGCCCTCCAAAAGACTCTAATGGAAAAATAAGCACCACTGCAGAGCTTCCATAACAGCGCATGTTGTCTTCACTGGGATCTCCTAGAGGTAAAAACAAGCAAGTCAACATAGTATTTCCACCTCTGGTGTACCAGGAAGGTGAGGATTTTGCAGACCATTGAGACACACATACTTGGAATCATAGAATGGTTTGGGTTGGAAAGGACCTTAAGATCACCTAGTTTCAACCCTCCTGCCACGGGCAGCGACACCTCACACTAAACCATGTTGCCCAAGGCGCTGTCCACCCTGGCCCTGAACACTGCCAAGGATGGAGCATTAACAACGTCCTTGGGCAACCCACTGCAGTGCCTCACCACCCTCACAGTGAAGAACATGTAGGAAGGAACATGTTTTTGTTCTCCAAAGCAAGGCATTTTCCAACTCATCTGATACTTTGATATTCTCTTTTCCATTTGAAGCTCCCTACTGAGAAGGGGGAGGGGGGAATAAACCCCACCAAAATCCAAAAAAACCCTATGCTTCTCCTCAAGCCAGACCTTCTCTATGCTACAGATGAGACATTTCATAGAGATCCCCCCCCCGCTACAGAAGCTGGGCCAGGAGATGAGAGAGAACACACATTCTCACAGTGCTGTTGGAAGAAACACAGGAACTCTGTCCATCTGACGGACTTGTGGTTGTTGAATCCCATGGCATTTATGGCAACAGCAGTAGTGCTCTGGCTACAGTCCAGCTGCAATGATCCCGTGCCTGCTTGCAAGGTGCCAACTACACCGTTTCGCCCCACCCATAGCATCCCTCTTTATCCTGTCCTGAGCTGAACATTGCCAGATGTGGATGAACCAGAGGGAAATAGATAGCTGCCCATCAGTTTTTTTGTGAAGAGGCTGTTCGTCATAAGGCTTGGAGACAGCCTCAGCTCCAGAGACACAAATTCCAATCTCCAATACATACCTTTCTCACTGTCAACCCAGCCTTCAGAGCAGGCATGAGCCGGGAATCCTGCAATGCAAAGTCATTGGAGGAACCTGGGTGAAACAGGCCCTTTCCAACTTCTTCTCTCTAAACTTCACCAAGCTTGCGCCCTTCCCCTATACTGTAAATAGACTGCTTCTCCAGCCCCATTCTGCTCTTTGGCGATTTCAAATCCAGAATCTGCTCGACACGTGCAAGAGCCTGTTCCTTCCTTCTTGTGCTCCCCCATCCCCTGGAATTGGACATCGTCGTTGCATTTTGGAGACTATTATATACAGAGAATCATCGGACTGGGAAACAAAGAAGTTATTACTTGACAGAGCCCTGCAGCTGGGAATGTGGAAGGCAGGGGGAGAGGAGGGGGAGCACCAAGGGAGACAGGGACGCAGGGGGCTGGTAGCAGCATTATGAAAGCTATCAACAGAAAGGACAGCTCAAAGATGGGAAATATCTGTTAAAAAGCCTCAAGTGAGATGAGAAAAGAAGAGAAAGCAAGTCCAGGATAGAGAGTGGATCCAGGAGAGAAAGCAGTTGGTGCCGACGGTGCCATGGGTTAAACACACGGGTCTGTGGGTTTGTGTAGCCTTTGATTCAGCACTGACACGCTTTGGCAAGGGAGGCC